CCGATGGCGGGGAATGCATGGTTAGGGAGCAAGACAGGTTCTTGCCGATAGCGAACGTGGTAAGGATCATGAGGAAGATACTGCCGCGACACGCGAAGATATCGGATGACGCCAAGGACACCGTTCAGGAATGCGTGTCAGAGTTCATCAGCTTCGTGACAGGCGAAGCCAATGACAGGTGCCAGCGGGAGCATAGGAAGACCATCACCGCGGAGGATGTGCTGTGGGCGATGAGTAAGCTGGGCTTCGATGACTACATTGAGCCCTTGACCCTCTACCTCCAACGCCACAGGGAGTTTGATGATGCTGCTGCCCTTGGTGATCATCAGCATCACCATAGGGCCGGGGCCGGCTCATCATCTGATGCCCTACTAGGGAAACGATCTGCTGCCGTCGCTGCTGCTGGTGGCGGTGAGCATCATCCGCCCGCCTCAGGCATTGACCTTGCCCCCCCAGCAGGAGGACCACCCCCACCCGTGATGCATTTTCTTCCGAACCACCAACCCGCGGCCCCTGCTGGATTCTTCACTCCTCCTCCGGCCGGGTTTCTCAGCAGCAGCGGCAGCGAGATGAATAATCATCCTTCTTCGTCCAACGGTAATTTTGGAGCAGGGCCTTCTTCCAGCAGCTCCCAGAGTGTTCTGGTAGCAGTGGATAATGGGGAGGAGGATCATCAAGGCGTTGGGCATGGCAACAAGGACTAATATAGTGGTGTATTGCCCTGCGCGCGTTCTGCTGTTAAATTCTTCTTGTTTTTTTTCTTCCTTCCTGCGCGCATGCATGTGTTTGAAACAATTTTAAGACTTCATAATTAGTTCTCCAATTTCCTTCTCTTCCCCATCTCCCCCCTTTTTTTAAGTTTGGAGCTTCCATATTTTCAGCTTGACGAATTTTACATGGTATCAATTTAAAGCACTCTTCAGAGTAGGGAAAAAAAATAGGAAGGATAATAGAACAAATTTTGGTTCCTTGTCGATGTGGATGGAAAAACAATGTAACAGTGGATGTGCAATTTTCCTAAAACTTCGACAAGTAAATCAGTGCGTGGACTTCGACTAGTCGTTGAGGTTCTTGTTGACCTTTCAATTTTTGAAAAACTTGTCGACTTTCTAGCCAAGATGAATTTTTCTTTTTTCTCTTTCTTTTTTTTTTTTTTTGAAACGGAAGAGATGAAAAGTTAAACAAATGAATGTAGTCTTAATCAAACTTTTCCAGTAAATCATGTGTGTTTTTAAACAAAACAGAATATAAAAATTGATTCGATCATCGATCAACAGCAATACGCTTCTACTTAATCCATCCTACAAAATAGTGTAAGTCGATCTTTTCATCTTAGCACTGCATCGTCGTTGTCCTCTCTCTATCGTCCGTTTCACAACATCGTCCTTCCCCTATTTCTTCGATCTCAGTTACCGGAAATGTCTCTTTCAATTTCGGCGAATCTTTCCACGACTTTCGCCCTAAAGCGATGTCGATGGAGTACGTGTCAGAGGTAAAAACAAATTCTGATGACAATATTTTGTTTATTTTGATTTCCTCCAAATGTATCTTTTCTCTCATTGAATTTTGGGAAATGAACTACAATTATGTGATGTAGTTCCCCAGATTAATCATCCGAATGATTGGGTGGAAAAATTTTTTTATGAAACCTAGACATGGAATTTATGATTTATGAACATGGAGTGGGATCAGATCGGGGGGAAAACCGTTGCTACAGAGGAATGTTGGTTTTCTTTTTGTTTTTTTTTTTGTTTGTTTGTTTGTTTGTTTGTTTAGAGTAAGTGAATTTGTTGGTTTTGGAAATGCGATTATGTTATTTGAATTTGTTCTTTTCTCTCTCACATCTTACTTTTGCTGTCTATTCCTTTATGTACTTGGACTACATCGCAGTGCTGGCCAACGTTATACTAAGAAGGCTTTCCACAAGTATGTATTATATTGAAGATTTATATCATTTTGCATCAAAAAAAAAAAAAAAAGAGGATTTATATCATTTATTTTCCATCGCGTAATTTTAATCAAGAGTCGAATCAACATCGCACTGATGATGACTGGATTAAAATTTAGATATCTCAAATGCAACACAAGTTCTTCAATTGTAGTTGCATCAATAATGTTGTTTCCAGATTAAGACTACAATTATGTGATGCAACTCCCTAGATTAGTCCTCAGTTGTGTAATTAATTTGATCAATGGATCCCCAAATTAATCATTGCAGTCTTTTATGTCATATATTCGATGTGATTCGCATTATTTTGTGATGGTATGTAGTTGATTAAGGGAGTTTACTGTTTGTATTTCTGTTTTGAGGTTCTATTTTACCGGAAAGATTTCAGTGAAAAGAATCTGATCAAACAAGATTTTAAAGTAACAAGATGAATATCGACAAAGTAGAGAGGGAAGACGAAGCTAATGCTAATATCGCAGCCGCGGGTGCTGATACTGATGGTGAACAAGAGAGTCGGAGGTCGGGGATGACGAGGAAGCTCTTCTGATTGGTATTATAACAACGATTTTTGAACAAGAAACGAGAGGAAAAATCACTATGAAGCCTCCAACTAAAATGGAAATTTCTTCACTATTGTGAGTGATTTCTTGATTTATTTCTGTCGAATTTAATTCTATACTTCTGAGCGTTTTGTGATAGTGCTATGAATGTTTCTCTTCATCGGTGGTGCTGGAGACGTTGTTATTAGACTAAGAGAAACCTAAAAGTAAAAGAAGAAAGTAAGCTGTGATAGTGCTATCAAATTTGCTTGCTTATTAGCAATCTTTAAACTTCAGATACAAAAGTAGATTTTGTACAACATCAGAAACAGACTATCGAAGAATAACATCGAGCTGCATATCTCAATCTACATTCTCTTTGCAAAATGTAATCATTTCTATCAACCGCTGTCATCAGACAAGTAAAACTCATCTTCAGAGACTTCATCATAAGCTGTCTTCTGCTTTGCCGCCAAAGTAAGCCTTTCTGGAGACCCTTCATTAATATAATCATCCAAGTAAGCTGTCTTCTCACCTCGGGTAGCAAATTAATTGTTCTCTACGTAGACATCAGATTCTTCGTTTGGAAACCCGTATTGGCACTTCATAAGTTCGATGGCCTCATTAGTTCGTGATTTATTCTGTGAATAATCCAATCAGTCAACCAAAGAGATTATGAATTAAGAGCAAAATTAAATACTCCTCCCGTCCCAAAATTATTGTCCAGTTTAAAATTTCACTTTTAGTACAATTTGAACTAGAAATGAAAACCCAAACTAGACAATAATTATGGGACGGAGGGAGTACATCGGTATGAAAAACAGAGTTTAATGAACAAGGAAAGGGGGGGGGGGGTGACATTTTCACTCTCTTTCTTGGAAAACCATTACTATAGCTGATCCTAAATTGATGAAAAGAGCGTATCAAATTTCGTGAAGAAGAACAAAAAGATGAAATCCACCTCAATTCTTTATAATGTTTTGTAACTGGGAATTTCAGGTTCTGGTACTTGGAAGACAAAGAATGATGAAGAAGAAAAAGCTCGTTCTAAACTTGTACTTTAACGGGTAAGCACAATATGCAGAAAAGAGTATAATACTGTATTAGATAGCCAATGGTAAGCAAAATGGTTTCTTTTAATAGATATATGTTGTTTTCATCATGGCACTCTGAACTTCCCGGATGTGGTCTTTCAATTTTCCTTCATAGAAATCATCAAAATTTCTTGATGATGATTCTGCTATGTTCTTGATTCAATAAAGTGTCTCATACATTGCGAGTTGAATTTCTTTCCAATAGTGGGAGAGCTAGCTTTACGAAATACAATGGATTTTCCGACCTTAATTCTAGATGCTCCACAGCCTTTGAGCATTACTTGATCACTTTGTGTAACTCCTTGAGATGGATATACATTAGTACCCTGATTAAACCTATAGATTTTGGATTGAGTTATTCTCGCAATCTGCAACACATAATTCATCGAAAGCCCCTTGCAATTCCATGCTTAGTTGCTTACGACATCGGCGATTGATCATAATAATACCCTGTGATTTTGAATAATGATGCCATCAGCGTCGCCATCATGAGTTTCTCTATCTAGCACATATAACCACTACTCGCAGTTTTCGATACTCACCATATAGTAGTTTAGGAAGCTTCCGCATTCTTCTTCACTACATAATGTGAGATGGGACTGGTGGCTGTATGATACGGAGAATGAATATATTTTGGTAAGCAGCATTGTAGGTTTATGACACATAATTAATTGTATATAATACAAATCAATAGGAAGGGATATCTAAATTGAAATAACTAGGTATATTTAAGAAAGCAATGCATGAAAAAATCATCCTGCAAAAAAGCCAAAAACTCATGGTGTGACGATGGAGTCCCTCCATTGTAAGCCGAATGTGAAAGTCATGAAGTTCTCCTTCTGAGGAGGATTTAATGACGGGTGTAGAAAATCCCATTTGTGTGATGGTTGAGGTCAGTGCAACACTCGTCCTGTTTCATGCCATTCCTCATCAAACAAAATAATCTCAATCTCAATACTTGTGATCCTCACACCACAATGATGATCACTTCTTCCCAGCTCCAATATCATAGTGTCATAAATAACCTCGGGATTCTTACAATTGGACAGTTTATCAAATATTAGAGTTCGAGGGCGCCAAAACCCAAGGATGCCACGGACAAGTGCATGAGCCCATGATAATAACTTCTCCTGCTGCTCCTCCAAATTTCCACAAATTCTAAATTCTTCAATCTCTATTGATGACGAGCCACAAGAAGAAGCAGAAGAAGAAGAAGAAGAATATCCACCAATACTATGATTATCATCAATGAATGTAATATCAACAGCAACAAAAATTTGAGACAAGTTAACAATTGCTTCAACTCTACCAACCAGGCGGTAGTGGCTTGACATTTTAATTCCAGGTGAGATATCCATTTATGGCCCGATAACAAGGCAAATTATAACTTGGGTGTGACAGTTTGGAGTAGTTCAGAGCTCAGGTGGATGTACTCGAAAACTGCGATTCTAGGCACATAAAGTAAGCCTCCTCCAATCTTATGAGGCCTACCAGCTTTATTTTCCTCAGTGATCGACTCGAGATGTTCACCCTTTGCAAGTTTGTGTAGTCTTGGATGGATAATTCTTCAAGCTGAGGGAACTGCTGTGTCCAGTCCATGGAGGAAAAGTCGTGATCATGGGAATGATTTCCATTGATTCCCAAGTTATTAGAAAGGTACAACCTTTTCAAGTTTTGATATCCGGGTTGACACAGATCAGGCCAAGAATAGACGAGTTCCCTGGTGTATGTTCCACAAGTCAGGGATTCCAAATTTGGGGTCGCACCCACTTCAACACTGTATCCTGGATAAACAAAAACATTCAGTTGCGTAAGTTTTTCGAGGTTTGTAACCTTGAAATAATGTTGTCGACCATCATCAATATCCAGGCAATCATTAATCTTCATGGCTTCAATTAGAGGGCAGCCCTGAATGACCTTCTCGATCCAGGCCTCCAGGTTTTCAAAACGCATGAATCTGAGAGAGAGTCTGATGAGATTAGGCCAGGATGGGTGTTGTTCAAGCAAAACTGTACACGAGCCTAAACTTAATTCAACCAATGATTCGACTTGGAAAACTGATGAAGGCAAGACACTTGTGTTGTTAAAACCAAAATCAGGAGACAGAGTCAGGCTTCTCAATCCTTTTCTTCCAGTGGTGGCCAATTCGACGCATCGGTTGCAAATCTGCTTCATATTTGCCTCGTGTATGTGTGCCTTCATTGTGAAGCTCTCTAGACCAATGTTCTGGTTCTGGTACCTAACCAATGTGGATAACATGTGATCGAATTCGCCTCTGCATATTTTTGGCAACCTTTTGGTAGGAAATTTGTTGCGACACGAGAGGATTGATTCGGGTTCGAAGACAAAGGTTGGACAGGTGAGCACTGTGGTGTACAAACCCTTTGATAAGACGCCCACTTGATGAATTGCTTCTCTGGTTGTCATGTTTGAAAGTATGCGATGAATGATTTCTTGTGGCATTTCTGAAAATCGGCTTCTTCTTCTCCTTCTTCTTCTTCTTCTCCTTGACACCGGCGTCGCCGACGCCATTGCCTGATGATTGATTGATGATGATGATAAATTGTGCATTTTTTTTTGGTAAATTGTGAATTGTATTCCATTTGAACACTTCAACTGTACAAGGTTTGATCAAGCTATTACAATCCCAATCCTTTCCAAAAATTGGACATCATCCCCACTACCATTTCTATACAAATGTATAATCCTACATTTTACTTCCTGCTGAATCCTTCTAACTCTTGTTTCTGTCTCTTCATGTCTCAGTTGGAACAGCCTGAAATTCCTCTCATTCCATGTATGATATACCACAGCATTCAAACAAGCAAACAGAACTTCCTTCTTAACAGGCTTGTACTTCCAGATCTTCATCAATCTTACAACAGATAGCTGCTTGATTGCTGTTCTGAGTCCAAGCCACTGAGTTATGCCATTCACCAGCTTCTGTGCATAAGAACATTTAAAGAACAAATGACTTCCTGTTTCCTTCTCTTCTTGACACAAGATACAAGTCTGATCAGTGACATTTATCTTCATATGCCATAATCTGTCTTTGGTTAGCAATCTGCCTTTCCAAGCTAACCAGGAAGTAAAATTGTGTTTAGGAATAGAGAACTAACTCCAACATATTGCTGATGGCTTAAACTGTTCCCTTCTTCCTCTGATCCACATATAACCATTTCTTGGATCATATGGTTTGCCTGAATTACCTATCCAGCTTCCATTTACTACTGCAGGTTTCAGCTCATCTTTAAGTTTCATCAGTTTTCTCCAATGCCAGCTACAGTCTTGTGGAGGGTCATAATTCCAAATACTTCTGCCTTTTAAATAATAGATGTGCATCCATCTGATCCAGAGGCTGTCTTTCTTCAGTTCCAAGTCCCATAGTTGTTTGCCCAGTAATGCTTTGTTCCAAGCACCTGGTTCTTTGATATTTACTCCTCCCTCTCTTCTTTTACAGCAAATTTCATTCCATGCTACTAAAGGACAGCATTTGTCTGATCCTTTTATCCCCCATAAAAACTTCCTGCAGCAAGAAGTTATATCATCTATCACAGATTTTGGAATCAGAAAAATGCTTGCCCAGTAACTGTGAAGAGTCATCAAAACAGCATTGATCAACACAGTTCTTCCTGCATATGAGAGATGTCTTGATTGCCAACTTTTGATCTTGGCAGTGACTTTATCAACCAAGTATTGACAATCTGATTTATTCCATGAAGTTGGAGCCACTGGTAGTCCTAAGTACTTCATTGGAAAGGTTCCAATGTCCAAATCCATCAATTGCCTGATCACCTTCTGAGTGCTCTCTCCTGATCCACCAAAGTATAAATTGGACTTTCCTTTATTAATCCTCAACCCTGTGGTGCTAGCAAAGTGTCCAAAGTTCCTTTGACCATTTTAACAGTATTCAGCTCAGCTCCACAGAAGATTAACAAGTTATCAGCAAAACTTAATGATGTTATATTTAGCTCCCCACAGTATGGATGTTTCACAAAACTATCCTTGCTTGCCACCAGTTTAAAACTTCTTGTAAGATATTCCATAACCAACACAAAGAGTAATCGAGACATTGGATCTCCTTGTCTCAATCCTCTTTGACCTTGAAAATATCCCACACTATTCCCATTAAGGTTCAGTGAATAACTAGATGATGTAACACACTCCATGATCCATTGTCTGAATCTAGCCGGAAATTTATATGCTTCCAACATTTCTTCCAGGAATTCCCAATGAACTGACATAAGCCTTCCTTAAATCCACTTTCATCATACAAGATGGTTTTGTTGATTTCCTGTTGTAGAGTCTGATCAATTCCTGGGCCAGAAGTACATTATGCAAAATTAATCTTCCCTTCACAAAAGCTCCTTGGTTGATGTCCACTAAATCTGGTAGCACAAGGCTCAATCTTTTGCAAATCATCTTAGAGATGCATTTATATATAGTATTGCAACACGATATTAACCTGTATTCTGTGGCATTCTTTGGACTTTCATTCTTTGGTATCACAGCTATGATTGTGGTATTGATTTGCTTTAATAGTCTCCCTGTTTTGAAAAACTCAAGTACAGCATCACTGACATCATTTCCCACAAGGTGCCAAGCCTTCTTGTAGAATCCACTGCTATATCCATCAGGTCCAGAACTTTTGGTTTCATCAATACTAAAGATGGCTTCCTTTACATCTGCTCTGGTGAAATCTTTAATCAATACAACCTGTTGATGAATATTCAGCTTGTTTCCTTCATCAAAGATCTCATTCTTAGCATAGATTCTAGTCACCTTCTTCCCCAGTAACTCTTTATAGTAACTCACAAAATGATCCTTCACTTTGCATGGATCCTCCACTAACTGGCCAGTTTCTGATACAAATGATTTAATCCTATTCCTGTTCATCTTTTGTCTGACTGCTGCATGGAAATACTGAGTATTCATATCACCATCACAAATCCACTTTTCTTTTATTTTCTGTGCCCAAAAACTCGTAACAGCTTTTGATGCCATTGTATATTCCAAATTGCTTCTTTTTCTGCTATCTGTATTCCTTCATTCAATGGATCAATCTTTAACTCCTCCTGAATTCTAGTCATCTTTAATTTAAATTCATGTTCCTTCTCTTCGATGTTGGCAAAATTCCTCTTGTTGAACTTTCTCAGCATTGATTTCAGCATTTTTTGCTTCCTCATTACCTGAAACTGTTTAGTGCCTTCCACTGCTGTTTGCCATCCCTGCTCAATTATTGGAATGAATTCTGGATGCTGTGCCCACATATTGAAGTATCTAAATGATCTTTTGCACTGCTGTGTTACTTCTCCCCACCTTACCAACAGAGCATTGTGATCAGATATTCCAGCAGGCATTATTGTACAGTATGCATCAGTATATTTTTGCATCCACTTATCATTCACAAACACCCTATCCAACTTTGAAAATATTCTCATTTCACCAATTTTCTTATTAGTCCAAGTGAACCTTCCACCATAGGTTTGCATTTCCCACCATTCATTATCTTCTATCAGTTTCTTGAACTCTTCAGTATCAGCACTTAACTCATTCCCTCCTCCAATCTTGTCTTCTTTATTTAATATACAATTATAGTCTCCCATTATGAGCCATTCTGCACCTACATTTGGGTTGAGCTGCTTGAGCTCTGTCCATATAGTGGCTCTTCTCTGAGCATTATATTCACTATATACTATTGTCAGGTTGAAATCTTTAGTACCATTTACTTCTTTCACAAGGCAATGGACATATTGCTGAGTTATATGTTCTACCCTTATTCTATACTCACTTCTCTTCCAAATTAATAGTATTCTCCCCTTATTTCCTCCTTCACTATTTTCCACATAGTCATATTATCTCCATTTCCATTTCATCAACTCTTCCACCTTCTCCTTATGCAACTTAGGCTCCAATAAGCCTGCAATTCCCACATTATTAACGGAGAGAAAGTTCCCAATCTCTCTGTGTTTCAGGGGACTATTAAGTCCCCTTATATCCCATGAAGTAATATTATTCATGCTTACTAGGCTCTGGATCATGGGGACTAGAAACAGAATGATAAATTGTATGCACTGACTTCATTTTATCACACATCCTTCCTTTATTCATCTTGTTTTCTTTCTGATTTAATATTTGAATCCCTTCCCCTTGATTGCTTGCATCCTTCCTTTGAGTTCTGATTGGACTTTTAACTGGTGATCTATTCATAGGAGTTACTCTTGGAGACTGCTCCTTCCTGCTCACCACTTTGCTACCACCTGAACTCCCCACTTCCCCAACATCTTCCTGAATTTCTTTGCCTTTTGGTGTTACCTGTAGGGGATCTTCCTTTACATATTCTTTTACATTCCAAGCCTTAGGAACTGGAACCTTACAGATCTCAGAACAATGGCCATAACCTTTGCAATTCCTACACTAGAGTGGCATCCATTCATATAGGATCTTCTGTTCTTTCAATTCACCATCTTCATTTTCAAACAAGATCTTATTCTTCACCTTTTCTTGTATTTCCACTTCCACAAGTACTCTGGCATAAGCAGATCTTAGCTTTTGTACTGTCATATCATCCATTTCCACAGGGTTGCCAATCATACTAGCCAGCCTACTTAGTGTAGTATCATTCCAGTACCTAAGAAGCAATTTAGGAAACTGAATCCACAAAGGAACAGTTTTCACTTCCTGCATTTTCAAGTCCTCAGTTATAGACCATTCCTTAACTATGAAAAGTTTCCTATAAAACATGGACACAGGGTGTTTGAGTTCTTCTTCCTTTACTGAAATGGATTTGAAGCGTACAATATACACTCCATTATCAAGCAGTAATATCTTATCCACTCCTAGTTTTCCCAATATTCTTCTAATAAATCCACTCAACATAGCAAATGGCGGATTTGCTCCCAACACATAACATAACACAGATGGTTTACAGTAATCAATCTCCTTTTGCACTTCCTCTTTTGTAATCTTTCCAATTTCACTTTCATTTACTTTATTTGGTTCAATGAATCGAAGCTTCTTAGGTTGAATATTCAGCTGAGCATTAACCCCATCCCAAACATGCTTCTCCTTCAGTTCATTATTCAACGAATTACCACAATTAGCATTCTCATCATCTTCTAATGCACTTCCCATAGCAATGATTCGGTGATTACAGATTTTTTCCTTCATTAAATGCCCTTCAAACATCGCACTTAAAGCAGAATTAGGGTTACGAACCTGACTCTGATTCGCATTTATTGCAGTTGATCCTTCTTCCAATCTGTTCTTCTCAGCTAGATCTCGATCCTGATCCATCTTCACATCCGCTTCTCCCTTCTTCTTCGATTTCCTTGCCATCGCAAACAAATTGTCGAAGAAACCGTCAGCTGAAGAACACACACTGGAGGTGTATTCGCCCCTAGTGTGCAGAGAGATTTTGAAGCTTTAAAAATTGTGCATTTTGATAGCCTAAAAAAGAGAACTTTTTCTAAGATTAGGAGACTAAATTACCTCAATCTTAGGGCTGTTACCTTACTTTTATGAACATCCCG